GGAGAGGGTGAAGCCAGAATGCTCCTTGGAGTCAAGGATTCTGAAGCTTCGTCTGACATACTTTGGGCATGTTGCAAGGAGGGACTGGTTCTTGGAGAGGGACGTCATGTTTGGCAGAGTGGAGGGATGGTGAAGGAGAGGAAGACCTTCAATGAGATGGATCAATTCTGTGACTGGAGCGGTGGGAATAAGTGCGTTTGAGATGGCTTGGTTGGCACAGGATAGAACAGTGTTTAGAGCTCTTGTACATAGGGTCGCTATGAGTCCCAAACGACTCTACGGCACATAACAACCAGAACAAGAACTAACAACGCTAAAAAAGCTAAGTCCTCCTTACGGGCCAAGCAGAAGGTCCCTGGGTTCTATGCTTGGCTGCTAATGAAAAAGTAGTTTGAAGGGAGCTCTGATGGCCTAGGGGCAAGAAGCTGCACTGCAATCCCAGAAGTATGCGGTTCAAATCCACCAGATTCTCTGCTGGAGAAGGAGGGGCGATTTCCTCCTGTACCTTTCAGATCTGATTTGACGGTGCACACACAAAAAAAATGAAAAAAAAAAAAAAAAGTAGTTTGAGTCTGTCCAGAGGAACCTCAGAGGAAAGGCCTGGCAATCCACTTCCAAAAAAACCCAGCCACTGAAAACACAGTGGAGCACAGCTCTGACCTGACGCACACAGGCTCCCTGTCCATCACAACTGATGTCAGCTGGCTTGCTCTGGTGACATACCAGGCTCACAAATCACCCCAGCACCTCTGGGAGGAGACTGCTGCCATCGGCTCCACTTTACAGATGGAGAAACCGAGGCTCACATGTGTACTCAGTGGATGGTGGAACTGGGCCTTGTGTCCTGGAGGCTGCTGGGTGGTCTAAATTTTCAGAGTCTGGTTCAGGGATTAGGGGGCTCTGGTGCCATAGTCAGGAGGGAGTTTTACTATTAACTCAAAGACAGAGTCTCTGGCGGTCCAAATCTGTCAGTCCTAGTTATCTGGAGCCCAGCTGTCCGAGCCATCTGGCTCCCCGCCTCCGTGGTCGTGGTCGTGGACCTTTGAGTTGGAACTGACCCATGGCTGACATTCCAGCAGGTTCTCAGAGGCTGTAAATCGCATGGGAGGAAGTTGCCCGTCTTTCTCCTGTGGAGCAGGTTGTAGATGAAAATCTTCGGTTTGGCAGCGAGAATTGTAAAGTCCCGTGGTCTGCATTAGGGCATGCTGTGAATGTTCACTGTCCTTTAGCCCTGCCGACACCCATGGGGACAAGTGGGGGTGAGTCACTCGGGCCATGTGGCTGGTGGCGGCCCATGTGGAGCTCAGGGCTGGTCGACATGGAGACGCCGGGCAGTGTGGACAGTCTGGGTAAGGGCTGGTGGTCCAGAGGGTTTGTCCCTTCTGGACTGAGTTCAGGCCAGGCTGCCCTGGGGGATAAAGGAGCAGAGTGACCTTGGAGAAGTGAATCTTGTTAGGGAAACATGTCCCAACATTCACAAACCCGAGTCTGCTCAGTTAGTGACCGTTCCAGACGCCTGCCTCCTTGTCCAGGAGCTGCCAGCACCAGCCACGGCTGGGGCTGTGGGCGTGTGGCCCTCCGTGTCCTGTGCCCTCTGTGACCCGCCCTCTGCTCGTAGAAGTACCTCCGGAGACGCAAGTATTCCCTGTTCGCCGCCTTCTACTCGGCCACCATGCTGCAGGATGTGGACGCTCCCATCCAGTTCGAGGTCAGCATCGGGAACTACGGAAACAAGTTCGACACCACCTGCCTGCCCCTGGTCTCCACCACCCAGTACAGCCGGTCCATCTTCGATGGTGAGCCAGGGCGGGACCCCGAACCCGGGCAGGGATGGGTCCAGTTCAGCCGCAGAGGCCCCGCCTGAGGTCCACAGCTGGTGAACTCCCTGCCCCGTTCCTCTCAGGTCACCTCCCACAGACTGTGTCCCCAAAACAGCTGCTGTTGACACAGTGGTTATTACACTGTGTCTGCTGACCTTGGCCTTGAGCTTGTACTTGGATTCCCAAGGTCGTTCTCACACCTCTGTCTCAATGTGCAGAGGAACCCTGCTACATACAGTAGCTGTATGTCTAGTGGACAGAGGAAACTTGGGGAGCACGTTAGAATGTGTCCCCGGGGAGGCTGTGCCCACTCCAGCCCCAGCTCTGCAGCATCCCTGTCGTCCCATCACCCCCCACTACTGCCTCAGCACTCAGGTCTCCCTCCCCCCATCCAGGCTGCCACTACTACTACCTGCCCTGGGGCAACATGAAGCCTGTGGTGGTGCTGTCATCCTACTGGGAGGACATCAGCCACAGGGTCGAGACACAGAACCAGCTGCTCAGGACGGCCGACCGACTGGTGAGTGGGACACTGTCCATCCCCTCTGTGTGTGGGTCCCCACCAAGGAGTGTCTTCAGACCTACCTGCCTGCCTGCGGGTGTGCACACAGCCACCTACACACAGCTGTGTCCACCTCATGTGTCTGATGTCTTTGTGTCCTGGGGGCTGAGGACTGAGGACTGCCGTAAGTATTGACTACTGACTGCCCTGGGGACTGAGGGCTGTTCTGGGGCCTGAGTGTTGACTGCCTTGCTGTCCCGGTCTGAGTGCTGTCTGCCCCGGGGACCGAGTGCTGTTCTGGGGACCGAGTGCTGTCCTGGGGACTGTGTGCTGCCTGCCCTGAGGACCAAGTATTGTCCTGGGGACTGAATAATGACTGTCTTGGATGTGTCTGTGGGGTGAGGAGGTGAGCAGTTAAAGGTAGAAGGGACAGGGGATCGGGATCTCAGTAACCTGAGAGGGGTTCTAGGCCCAGTGGAGAGCCCTGGGGGTCTAAGCCCTCTCAAGGTGGGCACTTTGAAAAGTTTGATGAGGGAAAAGACCAGGAAATACCAAAATGGGGAGAATGTGACCATCCTGAACATTTCCTCTTAAGACTCCAGGGTCTGTGAGAACGAAGGCTGTGTTCCTTCAACTCTAGGGTTTGTTCCCTCACTCCAGGGCCTGCTCCCTCTCTCTGGGGCCTGCTCTCTCTCTCTGGGGCCTGCTCCCTCTCTCTGGGGCCTGTTTCCTCACTCCGGGGCCTGTTCCGTCTCTCCGGGGCCTCCCTCTCTCACTGTAGAGCCTGTTCTTTCACTCCAGGGGCCTGTTCTCTCACTCTAGGGCCTGTCCCTAGCTCAGGGAGGCTGATGGGTAGGATGAGTACATGGGTTGACCTGTGGGTGGCCTCTGCCTGCCTGCTCAAGTTGAGGCCTGTGGAGAGTTTGAGGAAGGGAACCAGGAATGACCAGGACCAGGGTGACTTGGAGAAGGGACTCTCAGGGTTTTGAGGTGGCCTGAGCACCCTTGGGCAGGCTTGACCCAGGCTTGGGTGGGAATATCTGGACCGGAGAGCATGTGGAAGGTGGGGCGATGGAGTGCACAGAGGTTCAGGGAGGGCCTTTTCCCAGTGGCATCAGACTCGGCATGAAGGCGCTGCCAGTGAGGCGTGGGATGATGTCAGTAAAACCCACTGACGTCAAGTGGATCCCAGCTCACAGTGACCCCAGGCTTCCGGGGATGAAATCTCTCCAGAAGCAGGCTGCCACAGCTTTGTCGCTCAGAACAGCTGGTGTCCAAATCACTGACCTTGTACCTAGTAACTGAGTCCTTAACCACTGTGCCACCAGGGCTCCTAGTGAATTACTTTGTCCATGTCCTTGACCTCACGTTCACAGGTGAAGTTGAAATACGAGGCTTGAGGGTCTGGATTGTGTGCACGCATGTGCAGAGCCCTGGATGGTTTCAGAACCAGGATGCACCTTGGTTCTGTCTGCCCTGGGATCTGCCTTTGCTGCAGTGTCTGCCCCTTGGGGTCAGGGGCTGGGCTGCGGTGACAGGACCTGGGCTTGGACTCCAGTGGTCCAGTGCGTGACCTCCTGTCCCCACCTGCCTGCCCCGTAGGAAGAGGGCCTGAAGCAGGTCCACCTGGCCCTGAAGACCCAGGGCTCCTCAGAGGACGTGGACTCCCTGATGACCCAGCTCTTGAATGACCTCATTGCTGACTGCAGGTAGGTGAACCGGCCCCCAGATACCCCCCACCTCCGCCCCCGGCCATCGCAGCGGCTTCCTGGGGCAGTGCTGGTGTGGGGTGCACCGGCACATTCCCAGCTGCTCTCGGCCAGCGGTCCAGGCCAGGCTGGTCCAAAGGTATGGAGACAGTGTGGGGAGTTGAAAAGGTGACATTCAGAGCAGGCTGTAAATCTCCCGGCAGCAGTGGCAGCTGTGGGCCGGGCGGCCCTGCACACCTGAATGGCGAGCATTGTGTCTGGTCTCCGACCTTATTCCCCTGATGGAATCTCCAGGAGAAGCCCGTGTAGGGGGACTGGGCCCCCTCCTCCTCCCCAGGCCGTGTGGGGCCTGGGTTTCTATTTCCCCTTCTACTGCGGAGGCTGACTGTCACCTTCATACAGGGGGTGATGGAGAGCTTGGGGGCTCAGAGGTCAGGCGGAACAGGAGCACCCCCGCATCTCCTCCAGCGCCTGGCGGGGAGGGGCTAGCCACCCCCAGCTTTGAAGCTCAGTCTCTTTATCACGAACCTGACGTTACAAATGACTGCTGTAAATGCCACAACACTCGCGTGCGTGGCCCTGAGGGAGTATTTTCTTTAATAGCTGGTAGTTACTGCTACCATAGGGGAGCTCTCCTCGTGGCCTGGTGGGTGGGGAGCTGCACTGCCAATCCCAAGGCATGGGGTTCAAATCCACCAACTGCTCCCGGGCAGAAAGATGGGCAGTCTCCTGCCGTGTGATTTACAGCCTCTAAAAACCCTCTGGAGTTGCGAGTTGGTTCCGACTTGATGGCAGGGAGGGAGGGAGCGGTTGCTGCTGTCATGAAGGGGCCTGGTGGCACCATAGTTAGGCACTCAGCTGCTAACCGAAAAGTCAGTGGTTTGACTCCACCAGTGGCTTGGGGGAGCTGCTCCTGTGACAGTCACGGTCTGGGAAATCCCACGAGGCAGTTCTGTGCTGTCACATAGGCTTGCGTTAAGCCACAGCTTATAGATGGCTACAAACAGTAACATCACAGTTGTTAAGAAGAAAAAGTCCCCAGGAGGCTTTGATTCCAGGCTCTGTGGCTTTGGACAACTTTTCTCCACTGGACCTCAGTTTTTCTAGCCTGCAAACGGACTTTTATAAAGAATTGCCGTTCTGTTCTCTTGGTGTTCACAGCCCACTTCCACTGGGTTGAGACTGACTCCTAACAATCCTGCACTGAGTTTCCAAGGCTGTAAATCCAAAGTGAAAAGACTGCCTGTCTTTTTCTTGAGGAACAGCTGGTGGATTTGAACAGCCAACCTTTTGGTTAATAGCCTCGCGTGTTCTGCACAGTGCCACCAGTGCTCCTTAGTGTGAACACGTGCAGAATATGTTCGCTCCCTCAAACCCTCTGCCCTCTCCAAGCAGCTTCCTTCTGGTCCCCTGGCCCTCACCCCCACCCCCCCACCGAGATGAAACATGGCCCCTGTCCGTGAGGGTAGGATTGTAGCCTGGGCTCTCACCCCTTCCCTAGACCTTCCCAGAGTCAGTGCCAAGTTCCCGGAGCATGCTGGCAGTGTCTACCCCCTAGGGGTGATGGGTGCACAGTGAAGGGAGGGAAGAGTGTTGGAGGCCAGAGGCACGGGTGAAGGAAAGCCTGAGGTGCAACTCATTCAAGCAAATGCAGAGGACTTCCTGGAGGAGGGGCTACCCCTTGTGCATGCTGAGGGAGGAGCAGGAGTCAGCCATCCCTGCTGCCTATGGGAGTTGACGCGGCGAGGCGGAGCTCTGTAGAATCACTCCATGGTCCTTCTGCGTTCTGGGTGGTGTGAAGGTTGGGGATACATAATGGAGGTGGGATGTGCTGGGAGACTGGCCATGGGGCCAAGCAGGTGGTGGAGGCTCTGGGGCAGCGGCATTGAAGGAGGAGGGCAGTGGAGGGCAGCACGGGGCAGTCAGAAGATACCACAGGATCAGCGTCCTCTCCAGGATTGCATCTATACCAGGTGCTGCCCTGAGGCTTCGACGTGTCTTCATGAAATTAGCCGCCATAAAACGCAGGAGGTAGGAGCTGAAAAGCTTTTGCAGACAAAGCAGCCGAGGCACAGAGAGGTCATTTAATGTGTCCGGGTTCTCACAGCTGGTAAGCGGCACACTGCCCCCTTCTCATAATGATGCCATAACAGCCGCCTTGTTGGCAGATTAGATATGAGGGCCAAAGGAGGGTACAGAGTGATCGGCTGGCCCTGTCCAGGGCATCGGGGTGGAGCCTGGACCTGTTCTCTGAGGGGTCACCAGGAGGAAGAGCAGGTGAGGGGTGCTGAATGGACTGGGATGTCTTCGAGGGAGCGGGCTCTGGAGGCATTCCTATGTGGGCATGGTCAGCTTGCGGAGGGCCTGCGGGCCTGGAGGAAACAAGCTGGGCACTGGAGCTGGTCCCCCACCACAGCCCACACCAACAATCTCGCTGGGCCCTGCTAGTGGGGAGGCCAGCGTGCTGGGCTCCAGTGACTCAAGGGTCCTGTGGAGCTGGGCAGGCCTGCAGTCCCTGGAGCATCTGAGAAATGGGAAGGAGGATGTCCCAGGATGTGTCAGTGACCAACAGGGGTCACTAGTGCCAAGAGGGGAGCTTGGGTAGGAAGCAGGAGTGCCCTCCCTTTAAGGAATGCTCAAATGGCTTTCCAGAGGAGAGATTCTGGCCGTCACGACTCAGGCAGGTGACCAGCCCTGAGTGCCTTCCACCTGCTCCTCTGCTGCTGCGGGTCATCACAGCTGATGTGTCCTGGGGGCCGGGGCTGGACCCTACGCCAGCTTGCTATAGTGACCTGCTGGCTGTTCCCCACCTCAGCCCAAGCCTCTCCCCCCTCCAGCCAGCCTCTCCATCTCTAACAACATGTTCCTCAGATTCTTCAAGTTTGTCTCCTGGGGTGTCCCTTTCCCCAGACCAGAACCCCCTACTCTGCCCTTCCAGCCGGCCTTCCCCTCTGACCTGTGCTGCCCACCATCATCTCAGCACGTGGTGTCCTGCCATTGTATCCATGCTGGGGCCACACACATGTCCTCCCCATTGTCCATCGCTCCCAGGGGCCCCAGAAGCTCCAAGTACCCTCCACACTCTCTTCTCTGTTGATCTGGCCACTGCCTGCTTGTCCCGCTTGGTGCCAGCCCCAAGTCCATCCTGACCCATCTTCCTGAGACTCCGTCTACACTGTGTTCCACCTGCGGCCACTTCAGCCTCAGGACAAGTTCTGGCTCTGTCCCCGTGGCTGTGCTCTCCTGCTGGCCGTGTGCCTGCCCCACTGCCTGCCTCATGGTCCCCCAGCCTGCCCCCAGCCCCATTCTGTCCTAGTGCCCCTTACTACCTCACAGCCCCTCCTGCTTCCTGGGCCAAGCCTTCTCTTCCGCCCACCAGCTCACTGTCCCACCAGGCACGACTCTGGACCTTTATTTCTGAAGTATTTCTGACCCCCAGTCAGCCTAAGGGGTGTCAGGGCTTGTCTGGCTCTCTGACCTGGGTTCCCTGAGGGTAAGACTGGTTGGGTCAGGCTCATGGAAGAAGCATCGACACCTTTGAGTTGTGGTGTTGGAGCACTGACCACTCCCTGGACGGCCAAAAGAACAACAGATCTGTTTTGGAGAAGGTGCACCAGAGTGCTCCTTGGAGGCTAGGGGGGGCAAAACCCTGTCTGTCAAACTTTGGGCATGTTGTTAGGAGAGGTTGTTCCACGGAAAGGGACATCATACTTGGACAGGTGGAGGGGCAGCGAAAGAGGGGAAGACTCCCGGAGATGGATTGACACAGTGACTGCAGCGATAGGCCTGAGTGTGTCGGAGGTGACGAGGGTGGCACTGGATGGGACGGGGTTCACATCGCCTGTTGCTAGGGTTGCCACGTGGCCTCGACGGCACCTAACACAACATGAAGCTGTGGCTCAGGTGGCAGTGCCACGAAGCACCGGTGGCTGTGCAATCTGGCCCCACCTGGACAGCAGCTGGAGAGGGGCATCCCCAGGGGCCTGCCAGGTGGCAGCAGCCTAAGCTCTGACCCTCCCCAAGCCTGGCTTCTCCTGTGGCTTCTCTCGGGCAGCCTGGCCTGGCAGATCACTTTTGGGGTTTGGGGTATAGGGTGACTGTATGTACATACCTCTCTAGGTCTCCATTTCTTTTCCTGCCCCCATACCTGGTCCTTCCTGCAGCCAGAAAGGGCCAGACGCCTTGTTCGTGACGGCCCCAGGCTCTGACAGTTTTGGGGCGCCTTGGCCAGGCTCAGGGCCTCCATGAAAATCTCCCTTTGGTGATTTGCATTGCGGTACCTCCCAGCTCCCGACCCAGGCTGGGCGCATAAATCACCCTGCTGGCTCGGCTCCCCAAATCCCACTGCCGACCCCGCCTGTCCCCACAGCAAATCCGCGCCCAGGCCCCCTCCGCCCATGAACCTGCCGTCCGTGCGCGCAGGCCGGGCAGGGGCAGCCCCACGCGGCACCCCCGGGCAGTAAATATTATATTACTACGGGGTGTGCAGTACGTGACCTGAGACAGGCCCCGGGGCTTAAGTTTCTGCGAGATGGAGTTGGAGTACCGCTCCCCCCCACCCTAAAAATTCAATTAAAAAAAATAACAGGAAAAATGTAGCGCGGCGAGGGCCCGCCAGAGCGGTGTATCTGGCGGCGGCGGTGCCGCTGCGCTCCGCCGGTAATTGGTTCTGCATAGCTCGGGGAAATTGGCAGAAAAATAAATCAGCCGGGAGCCCGGAGTCCAGACGCCGTGGGGAAGGGGGAGCGTGGGCCGGGAGTGGGGGCCGGGGCTGCAAACGGTGGGAGCGCCTCTGATGGATGTCCTGTTTGGGGCGCGCTGGGGGCGGGGCAAGGCGCGTGAGACCTTCCAGGGGGTCAAACGGGAAGGGGCACTGCTTGGCAGGGAAAGCAAAGGAGGCCCCATCCCATCCTGTGTGACCATGGGACCCTTGGCATGGCTGAAACCCCAGTAGGGGGGGGTGGTGTGTGTGTGTGTGTGTGTGTGGTGTCAGAATTCTTAGCTTCCAAACAAGAGTTTCAATCTCACCCCCACTTGGGGCTCAGAGCTGTGCGTACCCGTTCCTCCTTGAAGACTTCCCAAAGCAGAGGCTTCTGGGAGGGGTGTTTTGGGCCTCGGGCTGACATCTGCGTTACTGGCCGTGGGCCTCCCCACAGCGTCTGCAGCAGCTTGTCAGGGCTCCATAAATTTCCTCCTTGAGGAAAGTGTGTGCGCAACGCAGAATGGATTCGTTTCGGTGGAGGGCAGCTCAGTCACCACTCAGGCCCTGGCCCTGGGAGAGTCGAGGGTCAAGGAGGGCCTGGCTGCTCCTGGGAGAATCACTTGGGGAGGGGAAGTGTGGGCAGAAGGGCCCCAAGCTTGTGGGTAAGCACCAAGCAAGAGGACCCAGGACTAGGGCAGCAGGGTTTCTGGGCTGAGGAGCCTGAAAAGAAAGGTGCCTGGAAGGACGAAGGGAGCGTGTGGCATGGAGATGGCTGGAGAGGCATGTGGATGTGGCACACAGGTGGGGGTAGGGGGATGGGGGGGTAGGGGAGTGGGAGGACGCAGGTCTGGGCCTAGAACAGCACCTAGCTCCTGTTCACCTGCTGCCTCCCACCCATCTGCCACCACAGCCAGCCTCTGAGTGATGCCAACAACATGCCCTCTGCCACCCACCTGGACCACTACCTGTATCAGCTGCGCAGCCGCCACCTGAAGCAGATGACAGAGGCGGCACAGGCCCTGAAGCTGTCCCCCACATCGCTCCCCACTGCCCTGGAGCAGACTGAGGACTGGCTCCTGCGTCTCCGAGCCCTAGCCAGCGAGGTAGCTCGCCCTGCGTAGGCCCCCAGCTGCCTAGGGGACCATCAGGGTCGGAAGGGATTTGGGGATGGTCTAGAAGGGATCCCCAATTGGCTATATTTCTGGATGACCTTGGACTGGTGACTTAACCTCTTTGAACCTCAATATCCCTGTTTATAGAAGGAAGAGGGGTAATTACCCCTAGTTTGATGAGGGGATGCAGTGGGATGCTGGGAGTTTGGGGACCCACCCAGAGCTTGGTACACAGTAGGTGCTCAGTAAATGCCCAGAGGCCCAGGGCCCAGGGCCTGCCTCCCAGGGGCCTGATGATACCTGCTTGTACCTGGCCCCTGTCTGTCTCTTGAAGGACCCTTGTTTCCTGTCCTCGATGGAGGCTGCTTCTGCAGTGATGCTGAGCTCTCTTGTGTCCAGTTAAGGACAGTGTGTGGGCAAGGGCAAGTCTGGAGAGGGTTCCTAGAGGGGTAGACTTGGAAAGGAAGAGATGTCTACCCCAGAATGGGGCTGGAAAGGGCTCCTCTGTAAAGAAAGACCTCCTGAAGCCAGCCTGGATGCTGTGCCTGGTCTCCTGTGGGCAGGTGCTGCACAGCCCTACACCAGCCATGCAGTGTCCCCTCGTGCTGGGCAGAGCTGCTGCGATCCAAGGCTCCGGCTGCAGACTCACCCCCAGGCTCTCAACAGCTGGCTGGAGGGCGAATGTCAGAATCCCCTGGTGGGGGCCACCCAGCCCCGGCATTCCTGGTCCAGCAGATCCCTGGGGTCAGGGGAGGCCTGATTTTTCAAATAGATCCAAATAGAACAGTTGGAAGCAGTCCTCCTCATGACCAGAGATCCTGCAGGGGGTCAGGGCATTGCAACATGGTTCTGGGCTGGTCATCATCGCCAGAGTCCACTGGGTCCAGCAACAGGCCAGACCTCGAGGTCTCTGCTGTTGAGAGAGGAGGAGGAGGAGGAGGAGGAGGAGGAGGAGGCAGAAGTGTCCCCTGGGAGTGGCATGTGTTCTGTGGGCTGTGCTGTCCTTAGAGGCAAGGAAGACGGTGACATCTTACTTGTAACATCATGTACCAGGTGACACGAGAGGCCTCTAAGAACTCAAGCAGAACCCAGAGAGAGATTCACTCTCAATTTCCCTTGTGCTCAGGGGATGCACAGTACCGAGGAGTGGTACCCGGTGGTCTCGGAGCTGCTGGGGACTTGGGGGGGGGGTGCTCAGGGAGAAGCGGGGTCTGCTCCCAGTGGGCTGTAGAGCTGGGCCATCATGGCGCAGTCCTGACTGCCCGCCGCCCTCTCCCCAGCCCCAGAACAGCCTGCCAGACATCATCATCTGGATGCTGCAGGGGGACAAGCGCGTGGCCTACCAGCGAGTGCCTGCCCACGAGGTCCTCTTCTCCCGCCGGGGCACCAGCTACTGCGGCAAGAACTGCGGAAAGCTGCAGACCATATTCCTCAAAGTGAGCTTCTCTCTGCTCAAGCCACAGTCATCCCGTTTGCTAGACACGGGGCAAGTCACCGCCTCTCCTGTGTCCCATGCCTCTTCTTGGCCCGTCTCGGAGTCTGGGGGCTGCCCTCTTGCAAGGGCCTCTGGGTAAAAACTCTTTCCCTCTCCTCCCAATGACGGCTGATACTCAGGAGTCTGGGGAGAGCACACCTGTTCACTCACTCAGGGTGTGTTGGAAGTGGCTCTGTTCTTGGTATGAGTGCCCCCACACTTGACTGGCCTTCGTCCCTGTCTTGCCCCCCTGCCTGTACCCCTTGTGTGTCTAGCCTTCCCCTCCTCCACATCACCCTTCCACCCACACCGTGGCCACCTCCCTTGTCACCTCTCCCACATGGTCTGTCATTCCTGTAGCCCCTGGGCGGGCGGAGCGGACAGGCACAGGGGTGTGGACTAGGAACTGGAGCTGGTGGAGCCCTCTGTGGGCTTAGGCTGGTCATCTAACTGTGTACAAGGAGGCTCGAGCTGCCCAGGCCACATGATTTGCTCTGAGGATTGAATTAGTTTCATGAGTCACACCAGCCCTGGAGTATTGGTCCCCTCTTCTCCTCTCCTTTTGGGTAAGGGAGCCCTCATGGCCTACTGGGTGAGGAGTTGTGCGGCCAACCCAAAGGCAGTTCGAATCCACCAGCTGCTCCTTGAGATGGACAGTATTCTGCCATGTAATTTACAGCCTCTGAAAACCTGCTGGAGGGTCAGCTGTCAGTTTTACGTAATGGTACTGCATAGAAGCTTGTTCCCTGTAGAGATCAGGCTCTGTAAACGGGGTGGTGGAGACCACACCAAGGCTGTGCTGGCTGTGTTGGAGTGGGTATCGCCCCCTTCCCCCCCGGTCTTTAGTGCATCCATGACGGGCCTGGCTTTGCCTACATGGAGTGGAGGTGGCCTCTCCCTCCTGTTCGTGTGTCTCAGGGGCATGTTGGCCGTGCAGACCTAGCATCCTCCTTCCTAGACCAGCTCTCAGCGAGCAGGACGAAGGGAAGGCATGCGCAGAGATGGCCCATCCGGGCTGAGCAGGGCAGGCTGGCAGGCTTGGGTAGAGGGGGCGGAAGAATGGCTCCCTGGGACCGGAGGACCTCCAGGCCCTGACCTCTTGATCTGCAGCCTTGGGGAAACGCAGGCTGAAAAAGTTCCCCAATTCCGAGTAGAGAAAAGGGGGTGGGAAGAAAAAAAAAAATCTAGAGTTGTTTCTCGAAGTCGTCCCCGCCGAGTTTCTGTGCCCCACCAGTAGCGCCTGAGCAAGCAGTGCAAAAATGTTGGCAGCACACAGAGACCAAAAAAACATTGGTGTTTCTTAACTTAAACCAAAGTTGGAAAAAATGAGCACCAGCGGAGAGGGAGAGGAACCCCAAACTAGACATTTCTTTATTTGCTGTTGCTATTTTGGGGCCAGCAGGCTGGCCTTGTCTGGGGGAGGGTAAGCTGAGGGTGGATGGGGTGGGGGTCAGGCATTCCTGCATCTCCCTGCGGCTGGTGGTTTGGAGGGGGGAAGGCGGCTAGCTCACCCGGGAGTGGGGACAGCTGGAGCACAGCCCCTGGGGAGGCTTCCCGGGGTGACTCCAGGGGTCACAGGCTCCTCAAGGCTTCTTCAAGAAAGCTTGTTGGAAGACGAGGAGCTGGGGTGCAGGAGCGAAGTGTGACACGTCACTCCCCTGGCTTGTCTCCTGCCTACCCTCCCTGGACTCTGCCTAGAAGGTCTTGGCTGCTTCACATGTTCGAGACCCCTTCCCTTGTCCTCCCTTTGTCTTGAACCATCAAACGTCCTTGCTGTCTTCCACAGCTCCCTGCTGGAGGAGGTAACCATCTGGACTCATGTACCCACCTGCCTAATGTGTTTCCTCCTCCAGGGAACACGCGTCAGTCCATGGGTGAGGGATTGTCACTCATCATTTAAACCTTGGTTTCAGTCAAGTGGTCAAGCAGTTATTGAGACAGGGTCTTTTTTTTTTTTAGTGTTTTTTTCCATTATGGCAGAGCTTCTGAAGTTTTCAGGATGAAGAGTGGTTGAAGCTGGTGAACGTGGTCACTATGTTGATAAGCACTTGAAAGAGCAGGGCTATTAAATGATAACAAACGTTCTGCCAGAGAGAAAAACAAAAATAATATTGAAGATGGAGGGGGAAGCGTTCATTTGTTCTCCACTGAGCCCTCAATTTGTGCGCTTCCTTCAGAGGCAAGTTCTAGAACTGTGCTGATCAGGATGGGGGCCACGTGTGACTATAAACTTATGTGACTTGAAATTAAATGGAAATTCAGGTTCTTAGTCGCACATTTCAAGTGTCCAGTAACCTCGTGCCGAGCTAGCCGCCACCACATGGGATCCAGCAGCTATTGGAGTATGTCCATCCAAGCGAGGAGTCCCACTGGGCAGGGCTGTTCTAGAAGAAAACAGAAGGGAGGATGTGGTGGGAGAAGGGGAGAATGGCCGACCCTGACTCAGACATGGACCCTCTCCACAGGGCACTCCTAGGTGGGGCCAGTGTTCTCCTTGGGGAAGTCCTGGCTCTGTGAAATGCTGTCCTAGCCGGGGGACAAGCTCTCCTCGATATGTATTCCTCTTCTGTGGTATTGTGATGATGTTAGATGTGCCATCAAGTGGACTGTGACTTGTAGGGACACTGTGAACCACAGATCTGAACCCTGCCCTGTCCTGTGGTCACTATGCGCCATCCTCACGGTCTCTGAGGTGCTCCAGCCCCGTTATAGTCACAGAGTTGGTCCACCTTGTTGAGGGTCTTCCTCTCTCCCTCAGACCCTCTATCTTTTACGACTTTTTTCTAAGGACTGGTCCCTCCCGACAGCATGGCCTGAGGTGCCCCAGTAGGGTGCGTGGTTGATAAGGGTGTTGCCCAGGAGGGATATTTTGATGCTAAGGAAAGCTGTGTGTTTCTACCCTTTCCTGGTCCTCAGTATCCAATGGAAGAGGTGCCCGGGGCCCGAATGCCAGTGCAGATCCGGGTCAAGCTCTGGTTCGGCCTGTCTGTGGATGAGAAGGAGTTCAACCAGTTTGCTGAAGGGAAGCTGTCTGTCTTTGCGGAAACTGTGAGTGCCTGCTGGCCCACCCGTGCCCTCCCCCTCACCCCCAGAGCTGCCTGTGGCCCTGACTCTGTGCATCTCTTTTGCTTACTCCCAAGTATGAGAACCAGGTCAAGCTGGCCCTGGTTGGTAACTGGGGCACAACAGGCCTCACCTACCCCAAGTTTTCGGACATCACGGGCAAGATCCGGCTGCCCAAAGACAGCTTCCGCCCCTCGACAGGCTGGGCCTGGGCTGGAGACTGGTTCGTGTGTCCGGAGAAGACGTGAGTTGTGGCTGTCCCTGATGGTCCCCCGGGCTCTGTGACTCCCTCTGTCTGTGCCTGCAGCCCTCCTGCTGGTCACAGCTTCCCCAGGGGCCAGTCTAGAGCGGCGCCAACACTCAGAAAGTCCTCGTTACTAAGCCAGAGTTGACCGCTCTTCACCTGAGCATCCACCCTCTGTGTTCCCTCATCCACGTGGGCACCCTCCCCTCGGCCCCCATGTCGGAGGTGCCCACACTCTCCCCTGAGCAGCCTTTCCCATGCTCTCTGTTCCTCCCCGAGCAACATCTCCCCCTTCCTCCAGCTGCACTTCTGTCTTCCCTTCTTTCTCTCCTTCCTCCCGCTGGCTCTGCGGGAGCAAGACGGGCAGCCTCCTCCGTGCTGTTGGCAGTGTCTGGCCCACTGGGAGGTCAGCTAGGAGTCGGTCCTCCTCCATGGCACTGAGTTTGGGTTTTTCTGTTTGGTTGACATACGACAAAAGCTGTTTTGATTTTTTTTCTTTTAACTTTTTGAAAAATGGAAGTTGTTGTTGTTAAATGCCATCAAGTCAACTGTGACTCATCAAGACTGTATGAACAACAGGTCTGAGCCCTCCCTCCCCTCCCCTGCACCATCCTCACCGTCTCGGATCTGCTCCAGCCGACTGCTCACGGCACTGTGTCAATCCATCTTGTGGAGGGTATTTTATTGAAATTGTAGTTGTGTGCTGTCAGGTGAGAACCGACGCACAACCTACACTCAGTGGATGTTCAGAGGCGTTAAATCACGAGGGAGAAGGTTGTTCATCTTTCTCCCGTGGAACAGCTGGTGGATTTGAACTGCGTGCCTTTGGGCTGGCAGCACTAGGCCATTTATGCGTTAGCGCTGAGCCCTCAGACCCTAAACCTATGGCTTTCTCCTCTCAGGCTGTCTGCGTGCTCCCAGCAGCCTTCCCCTCCACTGCTCTGTGTTGGGTGGGCTGGCCCTGGGGTCTTGCTGGTGGCCGTGAAGGGTGGGCTCTGCCAGTGTGGGCTCTACCCGCACTGTCTTCCTGTGGACACGGGTTCTGATGGTGCCCCTTGCAGCTTGCTGCATGACGCTGATGCTGGGCACCTGAGCTTCGTGGAGGAGGTGTTTGAGAACCAGACGCGTCTCCCTGGGGGCCAGTGGATCTACATGAGTGACAACTACACAGATGTGGTAAGTGGACACTGTGTGGGGGTCAGCTCTTTCTAAATGTTCTTCCCAGCTTGCGCCTGGACTCTGCCAGGGCCTTACAGAGGACAGTGTGGGGGCGGCCTGAGCCTCCCAGGTGTCCAGGACTCTGTCCTCCTGTCAGAATCTGTGAGGTTGTGTCTTGTTGAGTTGTGCCTGATCTGCCCGGACTCATGTCTGCCTGTCTCTGTTTTGCTCCTAGAATGGGGAGAAGGTGCTACCCAAGGATGTCATCGAGTGTCCACTGGGCTGGAATTGGGAGGACGAGGAATGGTCCACGGACCTTAACCGTGCTGTGGATGAGCAAGGTGGGCGGGCCTGGGGCCCAGCGGGTGAGCTCTTGAACTTGTCTGGGGTGCGGGGAGGGAGCACAGGGCGCCGTGGCCCACGGTCGGCCTTACCTGCCCTGCTTCACTTGGGTTCTCCCTGAGGGCCTCACGTCAAGGTGTGAATCCAGACCACACTAGGTGGCTGTCTAAGACTCTGCGAGCACACCCAGGCCGTCCTCAGGAGACGAGGGGTGCTGGACACTGAGTGATGAGTGCCTTTCGCCCAGGCTGGGAGTATGGCATCACCATCCCCCCTGACCGGAAGCCGAGGCACTGGGTCCCTGCAGAGAAGATGTACTACACGCACCGCCGACGCCGCTGGGTCCGTCTGCGCCGGAGGGACCTCAGCCAGCTGGAAGCACTGAGGAAGGTGAGCCTGGTAGGGGCGGAGCCTGTGGGGAGGGGCGGAGCCTGTGGGCAGGGATGACCACCCGGGCACGGAGCAGGCTCAGCAGGCACGGGGACACGTGGTGAACCCGTGGGGAGGGGTCACTGGGCACTGGAGCAGTTGCTGAGCCCGAGGAGAGGGGACAGAAAGAGCAGGTCTCTGGGTATATATATATGTATATATGTATGTGTATATATGTATATATGGGTGTGTATATATATGTATATATGGGTGTGTGTGCGTGTGACAGGTCCCAGGGCTCACAGGGCACATTTGGGATGCATGCAGATCATATCCAGTGCACACACATGTATTTTGCTTGCAGCACACACACACACACACACACACAGTGCACACACATACATCATACCTGCAACATGCACACAGCACAGTACACACACAGAGATAGTTCCTGCCACATACACGCACACAGATCACACCAGCACACACACGCATATCATGTCTGCAACACACACACCACAGCGCACACACAGATGAAACGCGTCACACACATGCACACAAATGACACCCAGTGTGTGCACATACGCATCAAAACTGCATGCACACACACTACACTCAACACAGTACACATGTGCGCGTGCGCGCACACACACCCCTACCACAAATACATGCATGCAGACCATACTCGGTGCACACTCAGCACATACATCCAGTGTGTACCTGCCCCACACGTGCATATAGATCAACACACACACAGGTACAGGGATCGCAGCCAGTGCACGCACACAGACGCATCAGACCTGCAGCGCACACACAGATCACACTTGCCATGCATGTGCACCTAGACCACACCCAGAGCACACCTGTCACACCTGCAGAACACGCACACACCCACCTCACATGACACACACACAGGTCTCACACAGCACAGACACAGTGCACTGGGCACACTTAGTGCGTACACACACACACACACATACACGCCATACTTGCAACACAGACACACAAATGCACGCTCAGAATAAATACACAGATTGCACCTGTCTCTTTCTCTCTCTCTCTCTCTCTCTCACACACACACACATACACACAAAGACACTCTCCCAGCACACATGAAGCTCTCTGAGTTCACCTGGGCCCAGGAGACACAGCCCGGGGTGGATCGTGCTGGACTGGGTCCCCTGGAGGTGGTGTGCATTTTAAGGCAGGACTTCAGGTGAGTGAAGTCACCCCATGGTGAGTGAAGACCTGCAGGATGTGGTGTCTGGAGCGGTGGGCCCGAGCTACCCTACCTGAATGTCAGTTGCCAGCCGGGGTGGGGTGTGGTGAGCCTGCAAGGGTCAGACTGGGACACCGCCCTCCCTAGTGGGAAGCGTCTTCAGTGGAGGACAGTGCTTTGTTGCGGTCAGCCTGATACCATATGTGTGTGTGTGTCTTCCTGTGTGTTTGCTGGATACGGGGTCCCCTTGTGAGCTCACGTGCACACTGTGCAGATGCCCAGGGTGTGTACATGTACAAAGGCTGTGGTCTGCCTGACGTCCAGGGTGTACCAGCCCCAGGGCTGCTTCCCCCTCTTCCTCTAGCTTCCATCCCTATATCTCTGGGCTTTGACCCAAGATTCAGGCCTCCTCACACCAGGGGGACCTCTGCATGACTCAGGTCTCTATCTGGCTCCCCGGACACAGAGATTCTAGAAAGGACAGCAGACAGGAATGAAGCCTTGCAGGACAGGCATCCCACACCTGCTTCTTCACCACAGGCAGTCCCCCTAACCCGGTCCCCCCCACCCCCGCCCACTGCCCTTTGGTCCTCGGACTCAATGTCACCAGAATCTTCACAATGACAGGCTCTGTGCAGAGGGGACTATTTTCCATCAAACTGGGCTCTCTGAAGGCGAGTCTCAGCTCTGGGGCTTCTTGGTGAGGGGCAGGGAGTGCCAGAGATGCCCACACAGCTGACCTAGTCCTCATTCCCTGGGGAGAAACATCCTGCAGCTTGGGAAAGGACCTCTTCATTTTTGCCTCTGATGGGCAGACCACTTCCCCCCAAAAAAAGAAAGGAAAAGGGAATGACAAGGAAGGCTGGGACCCGTGAAGTCCCACCCGTAATTCAGATAAACCTGAGAAGCACAATGGTGTCACGGGGACCAGAGTCCACCTTGTCTGCCTTCCCTTTCTGGCTCCTCACTTCTCTCCTGGCCCAGACAGTCTCCTGTCTCCCATGGTTTTTCTAACCTGGCACTGGGAATGCTGCTCAAAGCCCCCCTCATCCAGGTGGCCCTCCCAGGATTCCCCCCGGATCCCAGTGGGCAGTTGTGAGGTGGGGAGGCCCAGCCTGAGTGTGTGCCCATTGTCCACGCAGCACCAGCTGGCAGAGGCGGAGGGCGAGGGCTGGGAGTACGCCTCGCTGTTCGGCTGGAAGTTCCACCTGGAATACCGCAAGACGGATGCCTTCCGCCGCCGGCGCTGGCGCCGCTGCATGGAGCCGCTGGAGAAGACGGGGCCCGCGGCCGTGTTCGCCCTCGAGGGGGTTCTGGTACGTGGGACTGTGCTGCCCGGAGCTGAGAGGAGTAACATGCAGGGACCCCCAAGGGACGGAGGGGACAGGCCCTTGGTCTCTGATCCTCTGACCTCGGACTTCAACTAGGGACGCTGGCTGTTCCTGAAAGGGTGGGCTGGTGAGGTGAGGTGATGGGCTGAGGGGGCCTTGCCGGAGAAGTGTGGCTGAATGGCCAGGCTTGGACATACATCCTTCTGGGCTAGAAGTCATCTCCTGATCATCCCCAGGAATTCTGGGGGCACTGTGTCTCACTCTGGGTGATTAGCAGAGCTCCCCACCACTGGACCACTTATGAATTAGAGTCTAGCATGCAACTCCCGAGTTGCAGCACAAATCCCTGTTACGGTTTGAGTGATGGACTCCCAAAGAGGTGGGCAGGCCCTTCAGAACACAGGCCATTTCCTACCTCTGTTGTCTGGGGGTCTCCAGAGCTGGGAGTGAGATGCCCCGGGTGGGTCATTACATGTTATCGAGTCAGAACTGACCTGTAGCTGGCCCTCCAGTGGGTTTACAGAGGATGGAACTCACACGGGAGGAGGTTGCCTATTTCTCTCCCACAGAGCAAGTGGTGGATCCAAACCGCACGCCTTTGAGTTGGCAGTGCAATACTTTACCGCTCGGCCACTGGAGCTCTGGACGAGACACTCCTCTAAATCCAGCCATAATTCCTGCGCACTGTGTGGGATGTGGGCTACGACCTGCATTGAGTGCTGGACTCACACATGTCGTGTGGATCAAGAGCTGTGCACGTCTCTGTGAGTGAGTGAGAGTGTGTGTGTATGTGTGTGTGCACACGCTTGCTTGGATGGGGCCCAGCTCTGGACCAGGCTGGATGTACATCTGTGGGACGCTCAGTGACAGGGCCAGGGAAGTGCAGGGGCCAGGTCCAGTATGTGATGGGTTAGGAACAAGGCAGAGGGTCCAGCGGAGGCCCCAAGCGGCCAGGAGATGGGATGTTCTGTGGTTCTCAGGCCATGATGGGTGATTCACATGGTTCTGTGTGGTCAGGCAGAGGAGCAAGCTCGGAGGCCTGATGACACAGAGACCTCACAGGCTCAGGAGGGAGCCCCCTGGACTTTGGCAAGGGCAGACCCTGCCTTCTAGCTCAGGGAGGGGAACTAAGGGGAGGCAGAGTCCTGAACTAGTCCCCAGACAAGGCCTGGAACAGGGTAGGGCGGAACCACTGGCCGGGTCAGAGCTGGCCACAGTCTGCGACTCATAGGCCAGGGCTGGTGGTCATGACTCCTGTCTTGAGTGAGGAACGAGGTGGACGTGGAACGGGGCTGGTGATGGTCGCTTGATTCTCACTGAGGAGTTGTTGTGAGGTGCCTTGAGCCAACTCGGCCTGTCTCTGTGAACAGCAGATCTGAACCTTGCTCTGTGCCGTACCAGCCTCCCCATCTCTGACACACTCAAGTTCACATCGTCACTGCGTCAGTTTATCTTGTAGAAGGTCTTGCTCTTTTTTGCTGACCCTCCACCTTTCCCAGCATGATGTCCTTTTCCAAGGACTGGCCCTTCTGACCACACGCCCAAAGGCTGTGAGGTGACGCTTCCCTGTCCTCGCCTCTACGGAGCACCCTGGTTGCCCTTCCTTCAGGACAGATGCGTTTGTTCTTGAGACAGCTCAGGAGGTCTTCAGTACTCTCCTCCTGCACCACAATTCAAAGCCACCAGGGCTTTGGTCTTCTGACCATCAGGGTGGGTACAAAGCCGTTGTGAGAGGCAGGCTGCAGAGTGAAGGCAGCTCTGAGAAGCCACACTGTGTCCTGAGTAATCAGGCCCTGCTTTCATCTGGCGGAATCGCAGCTCAGATTGGTTTATAAGAGAGGAGGGGTACACGGGTGGGCTCACAGGTAAAGCGATGGGTAATGCAAACGAATGAGCGCATTGACAAGGGAGCGGTCAGAGGTTCAAATCCACTCTGAGTGGCTTGGAAGAAAGCCCTAGGAATTACTTTCTAAAACAAGAATTAAAAGCCACGTGGAGCACAGGCAGAGTCGTTGAGGAGCCGGGTTCGGCTCACACGGCTGGGTGAGCCCGAGAGAAGAATAGGTGTTAGGTCCGGCTGCAGGTGGGGCTTCGTCAGGGCTCCCGGGACATCTGCGGGGCTGCTTCTCTCCTCTGCGTTGGCCTCGTTCCCACACAGCTCTGCTCTGTGGAGGTGGTCCCAGGACGAAGGGCTGACCTCGTCCCCTAGCCAGCACAGCCCACCCCACCATCCCTCGGCTTCCCTTGCAGCTGGTGGACAGTGCTGCCTGAGTAAGGCCAACAGCAGCCTCGCATCAGCCCCAGCTCCCCCCCCCCCCCCCCCCCCCCCCCCCCCGTCTGAGGGTGAGGAGTTGGGGGCTCTGATTGGCTGTCCTGCCTCCTCTGTGATTGACAGCCCTAGAGGACTGGGGAGAGGGGCTTCTAAGAGTAGAGGAAAGAGGCCCCAGGCCTTCATGCAGTGAACCGTGGGGGCTGGCAGGAGCTGTGGGATCCAGGAGGGCCCTTCATTAGGTGGCTGCAGAGAAGAGCCTTGGGTGGGACTCCAGGCCTGCGGTGGTCGTCAGGGTGTGGGTCGTAGGACCACCGTGGAGGAAGTGGACATGGCAGGGCTGGGGCAGAGGGGTCAGAGACGCCGCAGACACTCCTCTGAATGGACTGCGGTGCCGCTGCCCTTGGCAGGCCGGGCGGGGTGTGCCCAGGCCGCGATGAGTTCACGTTTGGCCCTGGCACATCTGACACATGAAGCTCAGGATGCAAAGGCGGCCCGGGGCTGCCTGCCAGGCGGTCAGAGCAGTGAGGCTGGGAGGCCACGGGCGGGCTGTGGGGCGGGCGTGGGGTCCATTGTCAGGGGCTTGGGGAGAGGGGCAGGTGGTGAAGCCAGGGTGCGTGTCCTGCATGATGGAAACTCAGGGCTGGACCATTCTGGAGGACCCACTGCCAAGCTTCCCCAGCTCAGTGACCAGGGGAAGGAAAGGGACACCTCTTTCCCAGAAACAGAGAAGGCCGTGGACTGTGTGCTGGTGGGCGAGGATCTCCTGAAGAGTTGCTGAAAGCCAGTGTCGGGTCAGCTGGGAGGGGAGGCCGATGGGCATATGCCCACCTGTGTGCCCGCAGTCACCTGTGACCTGCACAGGACACCTGCATGCTGACCTGCCAATCCCAGGGGACCACCAGCTGCAGAGGCAGGAACCCCCAAACCCTAACTTCGGGGGCCACCAAGCTTTGGAAGGCCTTCAGGAGTAGTAGGCATTTGGAAAGGGCCATAGGCACATTTGACAATAACTGTCTAGACCAATGCCCTCCGCCCCCTCACCCCCATCACAGTTTCCTTCCACGGTCACCTTTCCATGCCCCTGCTAGGGCCTCGGACAGCCAGCTCCCCATCAGGAGTCCAGCCTCCCCTGTCCTGCCCTCGCATATACTGACGCCCAGCAGAATCCACCCTGCTTCACAGGACAGTTGGGCAGGTGTTCTGGTTGCTGGGACCCCAGTTCCTGCCCCGAGCGCTGCGTGTTCCCCACTGTCACGACGTTACCCACTGTCACACTGCCTGTTGAGTGCTGTGGTGGAAGGGACTAGCCTTGGGAGTCGGTCAGACTTACCTTCACCTTGACTTTGGCCTTCCTTGCTGAGGACGATTCACTTGCTCCTTTGGTGACTGTTTCCTCATCAGGAAAGTCATCCCTAGGGTGGCTGTCAAAAGTGACAAAGTGCTGAGGTGCTGCGCTTCCCAGACTTGATTAGCGCAGGAGCCCCTTAGGGAGATTGTTAAAGGTGGATGCTTGTCTGCTGCTCTTGGCGGGTGGTTTCCATCCCGCGGTGGCCCCGGGGTGATGCTGACTCGTGGCTGGTCTGAGGACCACATTTGAGTAGCTTCTGCGTGGAGGAAAGGAGGCTCCTGATGATGAGGGGGGTGGTCTTCCCCATCCCCTTGTTTGCTCTTCCGAGAGAGGCAGGTGTGTCTGAACCTGTGTGGTCACCCCTGACCTGGAGGTCCTGGAGAAGGACACTTCCAGCTCCATGGGGGAGAAAAGTGATGATGTGACCTTGATCTGAGGAGTCTTCCCACTTGATGCAGTCCCTGGGGGACGCCTGACGGTGTAACTGAATGTGGTCGGCTCCAGGGAGTGTGCGTCTCGGGGTGCTGGAGGCTGGACTGTGTCCCTCGGGAGTGAGGTGCCAAGTGAGGAAGAGGAGGCCATCGAGAGGCAGACCTTGAGGAGCCTTGGCAAGGCCTGTGGGTGGGACAGGTGACCTCAGGGGCTGATCATTTTGGGTGTCTGAACCCCACACCCAGCCTCCCCCCTCGGGGCCCACCGTCCACCGCCAGGCCTCGCCCGCCAGCGCCCTTCTGGAGGAGGCTGCTGGAAGGCAGGCCCCGTCTGCTCATTAGCACGGGCAGCCTTTCCCCAAAACCGTCTGCAGGGGCCAAGCCTGGCTCCCTCCGCGGAGCGGGAGGCCCTGGCTCCGTCTGCTAATCGTCTGCTGTCTCCATCCCGAGCATTATTTTATTTTCGTATTATTCTTTTTCCAGCTAATATCCTGGCATTCCCAAAGACACCGGGTTTCATAATCTTCCTGGCGTTCCCAGGGAACTGGGAAGCGGAGCACAAAGCCGCTATTATAGCGCGTTCCATCCAGCCTCCCTCTCCGCGCCCCACACCCTCGCCGCCTCCGCCAGCTCCCACCCAGCCACCCCCTCCCGACGCCACCGGTCTCTCTGGGAACTCTCTGACGGCTGCCTGCCGGGATGAGCTCAGAGAATCCGTGCTGTCGCCTTTCCTGGGCCTGCCCCCGCCCCGTGCGCCGAGAATTTTCCAGAGCCCGCTTTCTGTGCTTGGCGCAGTGCGGGGAGTTTTCTGAGATGCCTGAGCTTGGGCAGGGAAGGGAGGGGACGTCAGCAATGAGTGCGTGTAGTCTTAGGGGTTTGGAAAGGTCTCTGTCCTGTTCCAAAATGGTGCTCTTGACCTGGCTGCAAAAGTGTG